GCAGAGCCGAAAGCTGGGACCAGAATAATGATGAGGTGAACAAGGCAGCTGACAAGAAAACAAACCCCCAAAGTCTACTCTTTCCCAAGGACAGTGTGTCCCATGGCTCAGCAGCTACAAAGCTACACTCAATCTGTAGGACACAGCAAGAAAAAATGGAGCACTTCCCAGTGGAATTTCTTTGGCTTCCCTTCCTCCCTGCCTGGAGAGGCTTTCTGCAGCGAAGGGGAAAGTCAACTCTGATCACCTGTGTAGTGGCTAAGGCAGTGGAAGGGTATCTGTGTGTGTGTGTGTGTGTGTGTGTGGATGTTTGCCTTGTCAGTGGTGCTGAACCAGTCTCCTTCACTGTGCATACAATTCACCCCACTTGCTACACTCTCTTCCTGTGGCCTTCAGAGATTGCCTCAAGGAAGAGACCTTATAGGGGCAGGGAGTAAGAAGAGTGGCTAGGAATTATGGGAGCTTTAGGGAGGACTCACTGGATGAAAGAGCTTGAGAACTGGACCCTTTTATATCTCATAGGTTCATAGATTTAGAGCTGGATGGGAACTTTGAGGTGATTTAACCCAATCCCCTCATTTTACAGAGGAGGAAACTGAGACCCAAAGCAGGGAAGTCAGTCAATAAACATTTATTAAGAGCCTACTATGTGCCAGGCACTGTACCAAGCTCTGGGGATACACAAAGAGGCAAAAGGCAGTGCCTGCCCTCAAGGAACTTACAATCTGATGGCCAGTGACTTGCTAATGTCACACTATGAAATCTCATTCATTTTTTTAACATCCCTTGATTAGGCAGAGGCAATCAGGGCTTTGTCTCATCAAACAAGGAAAATGAGGCACCATGGAGGCCGGGAACTTGTCCATAGTCACGTGGCAAGGGCAGGAAAGAAATCCATGATTTTAGACATATCAAAAAAGAAATACTGTCTAGAATGAGAGAGAGAACACTTCCACTGTACTCAACTCTGGTCAGGCCACTTTTGAAGTATAATGTTCAGTTCTCTGGATACCGGGAAGGACATTGATAGCTGGAGAGTGTGCAGTGGAGGGCAGCTAGGGTGAACAAGGACTTTCCAACTATGACACATTGGTTGAAGGCACTGGGGATGTTTAGCAGAAGACTTGGGGGCAACATGAGAGCTGTTTGCAAGTTTTTTGGGGGCTGTTACCTAGAAGCAGGATTAGCCTTGGCCCCATAGGGGAGGACTAGTAGCAGTGAGTGGAAGAGTAGATGTAGCCTAGATGCAAGGAAAGATTTTCTACCAATGAGAGCCATCCCATGGAGAAAAGGGCTGCCTTGTGTGATGGTGGGTTCCTCCTCAATGAAAGTCTTCAAGCAGAGACTAGATAGGCACTGGCCAGGGACCTTGTAGAGAGGATTTGTGTTTAGGTCTAGGTTGTACTAAGTGGCCTGTGTATTCTTCCAAATCTGAGATGCTATGATTCTGACTTGGGATTTCCTTCTCATCTTCGCTAAGACTCTGGAATTTTTCTTTGAAAGACCTGCCAGAAAGAAGGTGGATTATGGGTGTAGATGAAGAATAACTCACTAGTCATGACCAATATGTGAGTTTCTTTCTTTCTTTCTTTCTTTCTTTCTTTCTTTCTTTCTTTCTTT